AACCAACGTACGTACGTAACTAACTAACTAAACTAATACGTACGTACGTAACGTAACGTAACGTAACGGTACGTAAGGTAAGTAGTATATATATATATAATAATATATATATATATATATATATATATATATATATATATATATATACATATATACATATTATACATATATATATATATATCAGGATATATATCTCTAGCGACCTTACATGACCTTGGAGGTCAGATTTTACCTCATCCACCCACACATTTGTTGGGTCAATGCACATTTTGTACTTTATAACGAACTCTCTATCTGGCTTTGTTTAGCCGTACATGAATGTTTTTGGCATCCGATGACATCCTGTGACCTCTGGTACCTATCCCACGCACCTATCCCCCCGGTTCAAGTTACTCTTGTGGACCAATTTTCAGCCCACAGGGACCAACCATTTGGTCCATAGCCGGACAGACGAACAGACAAATAATCATCAGAAATATTTGTATAGATATAATGTTATGTATTAATTAGCTTGTCTAGAAATATGATAACATCTTCTTTTCCCTTTTACAGAACTGAAGACGCAACTCCTAGAGCGACGCAATTATTTTTAGCAGGTGAGAAAACTAGGAAAACAGTCAAATGTGTAATGACAAGTAGTGTATGCATGCACAGTCACATTCTAGCATGCACAGTATCATGTCTGGGCATGAATGAGCATGATTGAAGTATTCACAGGCGTCCAATCATGTAGACATATTTATGCAATGTGCTAGTAGTGATGCATCGTACTAGAGCCATGTAGCACCAGTGACTGTTGGTTTGAACTGTGGAGAGGTGTCATACTTTGACTGAGTGGCAGATGAAAAATCTCTGCTACTACTTAAACAGGAAAATCAAAAGATTATTTGATGTGTTGACAAATCATAATAACATAATGAATGACATACGTAATGGATTGACAAATCATAATATAACACAAGTCATACATAATATGTCATTGTAAGAATATATAATTATGTATACAATAATATACATAGGAATATGAGAAAGGCGAGAGGTAAGAGAGGAGCATTGGAAGAGGAAGATGAAGAAGTCATAGAGGAGGCACAGGTAGTATGGACTGATAGGAGCGAAGAAGGGAAGATATGAGGAAAGGAAGAGTAGGGAATAGATGGCAAATGGTAGAAAGGAAGCAGGGGAGAACGAGGAGTGGATGGCAAGAAAAGAAAGTGGAGGAAGTGTAAGAAGAAAGAGCGGGAGCAGAAGAGAGGGAGAAAGTGGGAGAGAAGGGTGGGTGAGAGAGAAGGAGAGACCTCCCAGCTCAAGCCATCTACATGTACACATTTGCTGTAGTTGTTCTTGAGTTGTCACTACCTGGCAAACTGACACTTGATCGTGCATATGCAGCATTCAACGTACAACAAACCCGTGAACAATCCAATATTGTGGTCAACCTGGGGATAGACTTAGAGTGGCAGGATTTGTTTCTAACGAAATGGAGTGATGCTGATTGTGTACATTATAGGGCAGTACTAATAGATAGGTATATCGATGGTGGGTTGGTATTTCATATCCTAAACTAACCGCATTACATAAGGAAAACGCCCACACACTGCATAAAAGCCAAAATACAAAAGCCCACACACACACTGCATAACTCACTGGTGCAGTTATTACATGAAATGCTATCAGTGAAAATTGTGTGTGTGTGTAAATTGTCATTTGGTTCATTGTGCTTTATTTACAGGGCAGAGAACGGTGGGTAGGGCTATAAAATCTATGCTCAGCATCAATATATATCAAAAGTAGATAATAGGGAAGGAGTGTGACTTCAATAAACAAGGGAAATTTGTCATTTACTAGCCTTAGAATAGCTACGATTTACTACGCGTAACTCAACCAACTCAAATCGTACACAGTACATTCGCCTAGCATCGTGCGAAATCGTTTACCCGTATACACCCGCAGTCCGGAGATACAGACTAAAACGTACGACACGATTTTCCATTATGTTGCCAGCAAACTGAATGTATAAACCGCCTAACTTGAAACAAAAGGCAGCTACTAGCGAGCCACACCGCATCGCCGAGGGAGCAAGAGTGCGCAAGAGCTGCCTTAATTAATTTTTTTTATTTTCAAGTTAGGCGGTTTATACATTCAGTTAGCTGGCAACATAATGGAAAATCGTGTCGTACGTTTTAGTCTGTATCTCCGGATTGCGGGTGTATACGAGGAAACGATTTCGCACGATGCTAAGCAAATGTACTGTGTACGATTTGAGCTCAAGTTGGTTGAGTTACGCGTAGTAAATCGTAAGTATTCTAAGGCTAGTAAATGACGAATTTCCCTTGTTTATTGAAGTCACACTCCTCTCCTATTAACTACTTCTGATATATATGTATATAATGATTTGTCACTGGTACAAGAATGGTAAGCCTAGCAGATATCTACCATTGGCATATTATGTTCAGAATAACAATATTAGGAATATCAGGAGTATGCTTGTGTAGCGATGTATGAAATTACATTATGCCTTTATATCAGACCTGTTTTTTTTCCCATCAAACCAGGATAGCAGTTACCCTTCTCAACTACGAGATTGCCCACTGTTAGGCACTTAACAGTGCATAAAGCAGCTAACGACTAAGGTTTTTGTGCAGCGGAAATCGACTCTCTTACCTCACCAATTCACTACGTGCGTTTTTCGCCTGACAGGTGAACTCGCTGGCACGTGCAAGATACTATCGTGACGCACGCGAGCTAAATGATTTAGTGCACAACACTGCAGACGCATGCGCAAATAGTTGTCGTAATTCATATATCTCAGGATAGCCGTGGCGTGTGGAGCTGACGCCGGTGTCGTGCTGGTGCATGATAACGAGCTTCCTCGCTGTGTTTTGCCCTCTGCGTAACAGGAACTTTATGACGAAATCCCTGCTTATATAATAGGAAGAGAATATTTATGAACAGTAGTTTACTGCAGTTGACTGTAATAGATATTAGTACTACTGATATCTAGTCGCACTAATACTGATGCCGTAGGCGACTAGTGATACTTTAGGAGCATGGTATTGTCCCCGATAATACCTTAGGGCAGAAAATGCGACCGACTGCCATGTTGGATCATGTTGCAGAAAATCCCTATCGCACACAAAGAAAGATACTAGTCGGTGTATATATACTAGCAGTATTTTTTACCATTGTATACATTTAGGAGTGTTTGCAGCACGCTGCTGTGTGTAGAAGCTGGCTAGATATTTTCCTCATAGGCATTATCCGAAATATCACGAAACCAAGTCTGATTAAATATGGCTTCCCGCATAACTAATTTTGAGGTTTATCAATCGCAGAATGTACCAGAACGGAACTGCAGTCAGTCGATGCAATGCCATAAATGTGCTCCCGCCGATTTTAATCTGATTGGTAATTACGTGTAAGCGCGTGCGTGCGTGCGTGTGTGCGTGCGTGTGAGCGTGCGCGCGTGTGACAGTGAGCGCGCGTGTGAGCGTGCATTTATGCCTGTGTGCGCGCGGTTATGCACACGTGTATGTACGATATCTGCATGTACAACTGTGAGGTTATTGATCTATAAGATAACTGTGGGAAGACTGTCTGTGTGTCTCAGCCACACAACCAAACTTGGGCTCACAATGGCTATCAAAAATGGATAATCATAGTTAATATATTCCATCCAGTTTACATTGTTGCACATTATAAAACATGAAACAGCTGGACTGGCCTCCGGTCCTGTCTAGCAAGCAGTGTAGCTATAATGTGAAATTTTAAATGGACTCAAAACTACATTTATATGGCAACTGTAGACGTATTAGGAAGATTGCTTCCTGTTGAAAATTAAAAATCCTACATCAAAACGCGAAGATTTCGCAGGAAATTGCAAGAGATGAGATTAGAGAATGTAAGGTGTTACTTTACAAATGCCATTCGATATTTAGCAAATACATAATTTTGTATAGCTCATGTTCTCATTATTATAAATCTCGCATATCCGCTACTTCTTATACGCAGTGATAATTCACAGGCCCGACCCATCGCTATAGTTATTGTCTAATTGTAGCTGAAGTTGGATCAGCCATAGTTTAAATGACTACAATATGTATGTATTTACATTATTTATTATTGTATCCTTCGCGATGAAGTCGGCGGGGATACTATGGTTTCATGTCTGCACAGCCGCCGCTGCCGCCGCCGCAGATATTTTCCCTTCCGCTCTATAACTCGACCCCTAAGTGACCTAGCGCTACCAAAACCAGGTCACTACGACCTTTACCTTGACCTTGATCATATTTCCCTTCCGCTCTATAACTCGGCCCCTAATTGACCTAGCGCTACCAAACTTGGTATACTTACACATCTTGGGGAGAAGGTGTGTCGCGTACCAAAACCAGGTCACTACGACCTTTATTTGACCTTGATCATATTTCCCTTCCGCTCTATAACTCGGCCCCTAATTGACCTAGCGCTACCAAACTTGGTATACTTACACATCTTGGGGAGAAGGTGTGTCGCGTACCAAAACCAGGTCACTACGACCTTTACCTTGACCTTGATCATATTTCCCTTCCGCTCTCTAACTCGGCCCCTACTTGACCTAGCGCTACCAAAACCAGGTCACTACGACCTTTATTTGATCTTTACCTTTACCTTGATCATATTTCCCTTCTGCTCTATAACTTGGCCCCTAATTGCACTAGCGCTACCAAACTTGGTATACTTACACATCTTGGGGAGAATGTGTGTCGCGTACCAAAACCAGGTCACTGCGGCTTTTATTTGACCTTGACCTTGACCTTGACCTTCATCATATTTCCCTTCCGCTCTATAACTCGGCCCCTAATTGACCTAGCGCGACCAAACTTCGTATACTTACACATCTTGGGGAGAACACGGGGGATACATGTAGTTGGCGACAACTGACCTTTCTAGTTTATATACGCTTATGTGCGTGCGCGCGTGTTCATGTGGCCAGCCACTTAACTGTATCAACACTGACAACAGGGAAGGCTGATGATGATGTTGGCGATGATGCGCAGCCACAGTGCGCGTGCTAGTGTCTGTCTATCACAAAGATGCTGTGGCAGCTGCAGCCAGGCAATACTCATAGACTCTGTACAATAAGAAACCGTCTCTGCTGGCGTCTAGTATATACATTGATGTGTGCTCTTCAGTAGGTTGGATGCGCGGGCAAACCTAGGGTGATTAGCTGTTGGTAGCATGTGTTTTCCATGTGTTATTGCCCGCTTAGCTGGGGATGCCTGCGCCGCTCTTTAGCAACTTGTGCGATTCGCTGCTACATGTATATATTTATCTTTACTTTTCAATTGCGCATAAACACAGTAATGCACTCGCGGTGCGGGGTAGAGCCAGGGGTGTGCTGCTGCGAGGCTGAGAGGCGCGAGCATCCGTCACGAGAGCGTTAATTCTTACTTACTTACGGCGATGACGATCACATTGTCTAGGCAACGGCAACAAATTCCCCTCTCATAGAATTTCAGCACAATGCTTATTAGCGGCTTTGAGTCAGCGAAGCAAGCTGAGCCTTGTTGTTACCATGACAACTTCTAAACCCCCGAGTGGTTTACGCAGCAACGTAGACTCAATTTAGAGTATTTTTGTTGTTGTTTTCATTCCAAGCCCAGCTCGCATTTATCGATTTAATACCAATGATAATTCGCCATGCTGCTAATTCACTTTACAGTTCAATTTACACCATTTTATTAATTGCAATATATCATTATTAACAGAGTTTTTTTATAATAAGTTATTTATACAAGGTTTCAAAAAAATGGAATTAAAATGTATGTGGGGTTATTATTATGTTTATATTTATTATCTTATTTCAAATTGACCTCCACCTTTTTTTACACATTCGTATTGAGGTGAACTTTAGTAAGAAAAAACGAAATGTTTTTTACGTTTAGAGTAATCTTAGATAGTTAGATAATTCTTGGCGATCCTTAGATTAGGTTAATTATCCTGCCAGCCACATAGCATGACGTATTTGTTTTGTTACCGTCTCGAGTGCACTCTCGATTTCAGAAACACGAAAAACATATCTGTTTCCAAATTCTAGGCGCAGCCACAGTTCACTAGCATCGTTAGCAGAATGTGAGACACATCGTAGAATACTTCCAGCGCTCATTTCAATTTTGCTTGCTTGCTTGTTTGTACGATAGTAGGTGAACTGATATCATACGGTTTTATCCAAATGGGCGAGAAATACAGTGTAAAAGGAGTTCGTACATGCAGGCCTATATTGACTCATTCATATCAATCTTGCGTAACAAAATACAGAAATGGATGCATTCTTGCGTTTTTTATAGTGTATCTGCACATTGTACTCTACTGAATATATTATGTCACTATATTACTAAAGAACACAAATTTTAGTTGAAGCAGCGGATAGCAGTTTGTTCTGGCTGTATTAGGAAATTACGTTTCATGTAATCATGTATTATTTATACCTATTTCATCATATCAAGGCCACATAAACTGTTTATGTGTGATAATATAAATGTATATGATCATATAAGCGAGTTCGTAGTTAGTCAAGGGGTTGTGTGACGTCACAGATCACCGGGTCATTTGGGACAAAAATCTGTGAAATCTCGAGTGCGGCGTGCGCTCTCGGTTTAGTACGTATATGTACATGCACACGCACGCACGCACGGCAAGCGCGTGTACGTGCACACGTATTAAATCAAAATATGTACAATACTAAATGTACATTTTTTTCAAATTTTCAAGGCTGTACTTTTAAAGAGAAGAAAGACATAAGATCTAATCTTAATTTATTTCTGCTTCTACGCATAGCAATGCACATCCGGTTTAACACACGTGTGGGTTCTAGGAGTACTGCGCTGGGTGTGTACTGTGTGTGGGTGAACCAATACCTTATCGAGTTCGAATGTATATTTAACGCTTCAACAGGTGGCGCTAGTTGGCTATTCCTGACCGCGTAGCCCTCTGCAGGCATTTGGAGCGCGGTGTACTGCCGCATCCCGATGTTCTGCCTCGCGACTAGGTCGCAATTATGATGCGATAACGGATTACGGATAACAGTAAACGAACAAAGACGAAAATCTATGATGAATAACACGCGCAAAGCAGTCGACGTGAATATAGATGATATATATATCATCAAGAGCGTATAAAGAAGGCCTTCTTTATACGCTCTTGATATCATCTATCATCTCTAAACATCATCTCGACATAAATGATATATATATATAAAGAGAGAGAGAGAGAGAGTGAGAGGGGAGATATAGATATAGATATGTCGAGGTGATGTTTAACTAGGCCAGCATCTATTCATCACCAGCTATTTATTATACTTATCGGTTATTACTTAGGTCTTACTTTTGGTTATGGCGTCGCGACGAGAATGCCGGGAAAATAATCATAATCCGCTAGCGCCCCCCCCCCTTTTTTTAGGAAGCGACAATAATGCGCTTTAGAGGGCGGTTAGTTGCAAAATCAAGTAGCGACAGGCTCTTATGCTCGGCGTTTGGCGGGGGGGGGGGAGTGTCAAAATCCAGGCGTTCAGAGAGCGGGCATTCGTGTCGTGCATCGGCAGGTGCCTGATTTATTGATCGGACACCGCCATCAGACTTATCTACGGCTTACCCTTCAGATGGGCGCAATCAAGCAAGCTGTCTGGTATTGCAGACGCTCCCGCGTGACTAGTATGTCGTGGGCGCAGAGTGTACAGTGAGCGAATTTGACATTTGCTGCGAGGGCGCTTTTTCCTGTTGTCGTCTTTCGACATCTTTGCAGCGTTTCCCCGTCTATTTACTACATTTCCGGCTTAGTGCGTAGGCGTCGGTTCGATGTTTTGCTTTGTGGGAAGAACTGCAATCCAGTAAATAAGAATGCATAACGTAAACGTCCGAATCTATTGTGTGTTTTTTACGCTAACTTATCTCATTGGGTATCTTGTATTACACTATACGGTGCATGGTGGCATGAGTCATGGAACAACCATTTTTTGGTATAACGAATTTACATGAGTGGGTGTTTTCATGATTATCACACTTCTCTTCAAATTTCAAATGCTAATATACTCTCAAATGCATTTAGCTAATTAGGTACTTTGTTAATACATGCAGTTTCAATCCACATATACCATTAGCACTATATTTCTACCATCGTGCATAACGCTTGGCATGCTTAATGTTTTTGTAGAGGTTGCATTTCCTCTTGATCGCCCAGCAATGGAATTTTGTTTACTTCGTGACAATATGCTATATTACTTTCCTGTGTATGACAGATTAGTGTGGTTACTGTTATCTAACAGGCCTTTTTTATACTTGGCATAACGCACCCGCTCCCAACAGAGCACGATAATGCTTCTGCACTGATGCGAATTTTCATGGTGCGTAGTTCAGAGTTGGGTATTCCTACTCACAGAAGAAGACGAATAAGTGACGTACTGACATGATTCGTCGAGATAATTCGTTGAAAGTTGCGAGCGAATTATATATAGCAAACGTCATCAAAATCGCCCTCGCTTTCAGATGTGGTAGAAGATCCCAGTCCGCTGAGATGGCCTACAACACTGGCATGTCGACCGGCGACATGCCGATGATGCATCAGGATCAGATGGGTGGCGGCGGGGGCGGCGGCGGGGGACACCCCGGTCAGCAGCACACGGCCCAGAACTACCCGCTGCTGTCCAGTCACCTGCAGGCTCCCACCAAGCACTACCACGGCGGCGGCGGCAGAGGCTATCAGATGATGTCCCCCCAGCACCTGCATCAGGGTCACCACTCGGTGCCGTCGTCGCCGTTCGAAACGCACCGCGCCGTCACGTCGTCGCCGTACGACGTCGGCCACCACTCGGTGCCCTCGTCGCCGTTCGAGACCGTCCACCAGGTGGCGCAGGCGTCGTTCGACGAGCAGCTGTCGGCGCGCTGCGGCGGCGGCGAGCAAGCGAACGTGTTCCAGTATCCGGAGGTGCCCGCCTACAACCGGCAGCGCTTCCAGACGCAGGACCTCTCCGGCATGGCGTCGCCGCTGACGTCGCCGACCGTCGGCCACCAGATGGCGTCACCGATGACGTCGCCGGGCTACTCGCCGCAGCCGCAGCCGCCAAAGCATCAGCACTTCACGTTCAACATTCCCGTGAAGGAGGAGGTGATGTCGCCCGGCTACCACCAGCAGCAGCAGCAGCAGCAGCAGCACGCGCCGTCGCCGGGCTACCACGGACAGATGACACCCAGCAGTGCGCACAGTCTCGGCTCGCAGTCACGATTCGTCTTCCCCCAGGTGAGCATGAGCCAGCAGCCGGGCGGCGGCGGCGGCGGCGGCGGCGGCGACGCCATGACGACGATGCAGCAGCAGCAGCAGCAGCAGCAGCAGACGGAGCTCTCCGCGCAGCTCTCCTACCAGAACAGCGACGCGAGCGTCTACCAGGAGGTGATGGCGCACGCGCACGCCGGAGCCGCCATGATGGACGCCGCCGCCGCCGCGCAGGACTACCAGGCAGGGGTCGCCACCGTGCCGCCTGACGCGACGATGATGGTTGCCAAATCGAACACCGCCGCCACGGGCATGGCGTACGCGGGCGGTGGCGGCGACGCGCAGGTGGCGCTGTTCGGCGAGGGCAGAGCGGGTGGCGGCGGCGGGGCGATGCAGGATCGCGCGCTGCGGTTCCGCCACACGTCCGGCGACACGATGCTCAGCCAGATCAACTACGAGGGCGACGTGCTCACCGAGGGCGGCTTCGACGCCGTCGTCGTCGGCGGCGCGCTCGACGCGTCAGCGCTGCTCGGCGGCGCCGGCGTAGCGCCCCCTACCGACGCGACCTTCGGCGACCTCTTCAGCGAGGACGGCAACGGGAACCTCATCGAGGGCGGGCAGGAGCTGTCGCTGTCGCCGAACGAGTTCAGCAGTGCGGGCTCATCGCTGTTCAACGCCGCCGAGGCAGCGGACAGCCTGGAGACGGGCACCGACACAGAGGAAAGCATGACGGGTGAGTGCGCCGTGCCGACTTAATTATAATAATAATAATAATAATAGTAATAATCAGGGGTCGAAATAAGCGATGGTCCGATGGTCCGGGGCCATCAAATAATCAGATTTTGAAAGTCAATGGTCCGACGAACCATTGAATATTTTGGTCCCATTTTACGGTAATTTTCTTTGAAGTTTCCACATTGCAATATACTATTAAAGTTAATAAACAATTACTGTATCGTTTGATACATTCATTGTAGGTGAATAATTTATCTCCATGTAAAATCTCTTTCTTACGCTTGCATGCCTCATTACTTTTAGAGAACAATTTGAAATTTAGGAGGACCATCTAAAATTTAGGAGGACCATCTAAATTTCTAACTAGATGGTCCTGAAGGTTTCTCTCCTTAGCAACAACAATAATAATAATAGTAGTAATCAGTTACTTAACCTATTCCATGTTCGGTTGGGTAACCGAATTTGACGACGCATCATCGTATGAATGTCACACGTGGGAGCTTGAACGCCAGCGTTTAGGAACATCCGTACTGACATACGTTCATGCCCATGAACGGCCAGACATACGACATGTCTGTAGTTACGAACGTCCATACTTGTAAGTTTACAAACATCCATGCTTAAGAATATCTATACCTACGAACATCCATATTTATGAATATCCATACGTTTAAACATCTACATGTGTACTTTTGAGTAGACATATGGACTCAAGAACATCCATACCTATGAACATCAGTGCTTATGAACATCCATACCTATGAACATCTGTGCTTAAGAACATCCAGACGAATAAGCATCAATGTTCAAGAACTTTCAAACTTATGAACATCCATATTGACGAATATCCCTGCTAGTGATTATCTATAGTTATGAACATCCTTACTTACGAACATCAGGACTTATGAACATCCGTGCTCACAAACGTTCGTACTTATGAACGTCCTTACTTACAAACATCTGTACTTGTGAACATCTGTATGTATAAACATACGTACGTACAAACATTTGTACTTACAAACATCTGTACTTATGAACATCTGTACTTATGAACATCTGTACTTATGAACATCTGTACTTTACTGCAGTCTTATGAACATACGCACGTACAAACATTTGCACTCACAAACATCCATACTTGCGAACGATGCTCTCGTTATTTATTTTAAAATTGGTGAACGCGGCCGCCGAACTGCACGACCGCACACGTATGAACCAAACGTTCTCCAGCGGGTTGAGTTACGAGATTTGAACGAGCAAGTGATTGAACAAAAGAAATGTCGAAAGCAGTTTTGTTCGAGGAGAGATTCCATCTGTTACGTGAATGATACACGCGTGTCAAGCGTTGCTATGAGATGTGGTGGGTGTCGGCCGTCAGGGTGCGTTAATATATCAAATTAGCCGTGGCAGGTCTGGCCTGATGTTAGAGTAGCTGTTTATAGGAGGTAATATGTTAATTGGTCAGTACATCCACCGCCTGGGGCTAGGGACAATATGAGCGTGCATATTTTCAAGTAGTATATTTATATATATTAGGCCCTATATATATATATAGAATGTAATATTAGATATCGCATATTACTGATATTATCTAATATTATTAGATGGGGCCGGAATCTCATGTAGCGAGAGTGAGTAAGTGAACAAAAGAGAAAAAGGGGGAGATCCCTCTCCTCATCCCCTCCCTTTCTCTCCCATTGATAGTGATGACTCAGAATTATGGGGATGACGCTGCAGAAAGACAGATACGGAACACGCCTTTTCACCACGAACTGAACCAAACAACGTACAACGTTGATTGCATCATGCTACGTTTTAAAGTGCTGCGGATTTCTGCCATTTAAATACCTCGCTGTGTGCGTACTCGGTTGAAGGCTACCTAGGCACACAGCGCGGGACGCTGGCGCCTGTGCGCGTCGCGAGCGAGGTGCGCCAGCGTGCGATGCACATAGAGTGTTCCCTATATCGCTTTATATGTGCAACTATTTCGAAGTTGGCAAACTGATACGCGCTTGCCGGCAGAATATCGATTTTGATTTCACCGCATTTCGCGAACGGCGAGGAGGAGGAGGAGGAGGAGGAGGAGGAGGAGGAGGGGGAGGAGGAAGAAGAGGGTGGGGATGCGGATCAAATTGCGCCTCGCGCGCGCGCGTCTGCATCGGAAACGAACCCCCTCGGCGCACTGAGGTATTTTTCTCCCGACTACGCGGGATGCATACATGCGGGAAATTCCATCTTCTCCTAGTAATTTGCGCCCGGCCTCCGTCTGCGGGCTTCTTGGCACTGACTATTCATTATCGGGGCATTCCTTGTCAGATTGTTCGCGGCTATCGATGTCCGACGAACGATATATGTATGCTTAAGTAATTAAGGGGCCGACTGCCCGCTGTTTCATTCATTCGAGCGACCGTTGTCGTTGATTACGTGTTTCTTCTCTGATGACGCGCCCGTCGCAGATATGAACGTGTTGTCAGCTCGCTTGCTCGCGTCATTCCCTCTTCGTTATTCTTCTTTCTTTCATCTCCTTCTCTTCGCCACCGCCTTCTCCGATCCAGCTGCGTGCTGGACGCGCATCAGTTGCAATCGGATAAGAAGATTCAGGGCTGTCGCTACAGCAGCAGCAGGCGAATGCGTGGGAGTGCGAGGCAGCAGCAGCAGCAGCAGCAGCAGCAGCCCACTTATCCGCGCAGCCGTACATAACAGGCTCGATAGCGGCTCGGAGTCGAGCGACCGCGGCGCCCCTGCCGGGCCTCCCTGCCCGATGTCGTGGGTGTTTGCTGAGCGGTGCGCAGCCCTGGTGACTTCCTTATTGTTCATTCATACGCCCGCCTGCATTCGTTCGCGATCGCGTACGAGCACCGTCCACCGTCTGCCTTCGTTAAGCGGCGATAACAGCCGATAGGAGCTAATACGGGATCATTAGGGCAGCAGTAGCACCAGCAACAACAACAGCAACAGATCGACGCCGATATCGCCAGCGCCACGGATTTTCTCGTGCCCTAACATCGGCGCGTCCGTTGCTATATATAAACGGGCCGCGCGCGCGCGTGTGTGTAGTTTTCTGCTGGGTGCAGCGAACCCCCGCCGTCTGTAAAGCGTGAATTGGCAGCAACGAGCCAGCCGCCCTCGTCCGTGCGATCGTGAAGTAACTTCGCAGGCGGGATAGAGAAAGAAGCCAACCATCCGCCTACTCTGTCTGCGATCATAGCCGGGTAACAGTGCCGCACAGCACAGCTGCTGTTGCTTCGTCTTCTTCTCCATCCTCCGTGCTGCTGCCACCGCCGCCGCCTACGGGCGTGGGAGGAATGTTAACTCAGTAATTATCGATCGGGCGCGGAGAGAACAAACTTGTGAATGAAGTGCTGACGTCAATGAAGCTGCAGCAGCGCGGCAGGGATCCGCAGGCACCGCCTCTGCAGCAGCAGCAGCAGCAGCAGCAGGAAGAGGAGCACTCACTGACAGACTACTGCAGCGACAGCAGCAGCAGCAGCAGCAGCAGCAGCAGCAGCAACCGTAGCCGAGTTTACGGCCCCGTAGACCTCGCATCCATCTGTTGACAGATTCAGTTGTTATTCGACAGTTGTGTGCGTCATCGGAGAGTGGAAACGTCGGCCATCGTGTTCCCCGGAGAGAGGCAGATAGAGTGTGACACAAATACGGAGCGAGAAATAAAAAAGGGAGAGCGAGAGTGTGTGTGTGTGCGCGAGAGAGAGAGAGCCAGCCAGGCAGCTCTGTACCCAAGGTAGAGTTCGCTGATTCCTTGCTAACTAGGTGGTTCGGCAAGCGTTCAGCAAAGTACATATACAGAGATACACGCGCAAGTGGGAAGTCGGGGTCATCATCTGATAGTGCGAGCTAGTCGTGATAAGAATGCTGCCGCACGTGTCGACCGAACTAACGTGCTAGCTGTGGAGGGACCGACTCGGCGCGGTATTTATACACACGGACACAGACAGACATACATACACACGCACACACATATACATACACACGCGCGTGCACGCGTTAGCTCCCATTGTGCGCGTCATCGCCCGGGCATTCAAGGGTCTGGCCTGCTCGCCGCTCCTTGTCCCGGAATTTACCGCCTCAGGTCGAGGTCTGCTGCGTATATACACACACGCAGAGTGAGAGAGAGAGAGAGAGAGAGAGAGAGAGAGAGAGAGAGGGTAGGCACGCAGCGGGAGTCTCGAGTACTTCTCCGTCAATTCGTCTTTGTTTTCGAGCGGCGGTTGCCCGGACGTCTGCGTGGCGGCCCGTCGGAAGGCAGACGCTGCAGTACTGAGGAAACGTCGGCCGCGCGCCGGGGCTGGAGTGCTGTCCCGCCTCCCGTGCGGTGTGTGTGCGCGCGCGCGTGTGATGGTGTGATGTTATGTTCGGCAGCCTCGAACTGCTGAATGAACTAAAACGGTGCACATAGCCCGATTGGAACGTCGAAAGAGAGAGAGAGAGGGAGAGAGCGAGCGCGCGCTCTGAGGGAGAGAGAAAGACAGGTGTTTCATTCAAAATGCCCATCATAATGCAGGGCACTCACCCATACTACCTGCCGGAAAGGGTTCTCAGAATGGCCGCGTACGCTTATACAGGTAAGCGATTCTCGCACGTCCGTTACTGCCACGCGCTAGTTCCCGGACAGAGTGCGGGTCTTTGTTCACGCGTTATATATATATATGTATATATTATATATATAGTTTGAAACGCTTCAAGTGCCTGTGATGGCGGCGGCGTGTGTTTACAGTTGAAACGCTTCAAGTGCCTGTTGTCACAGAAGCATGTAGCTCTAAAACTATACCCTAGGCGCGAAGCGCTATAGTTCTAGAGCTAAGGAGCACGTAAACTACGTGTTCGTGATATGTACATGTGAATAAAGAGCGTATAAAGAAGGAATAATTCTTCATAATACCTCTTGATGTGACTATCATATATATATATTACTATCTTGATCTATCTATCGTCTTGATATATATACTATATATATACTATTACCTACCTAACCTTATA